AATCATACAGCATTGTGTAGCTTTCTGCCAGGTCCTTAAATAGTCCAATCTGGAAGATTGGCTGACTCGCAGCAGCTGGTTTGCTCCACTGAACCGCTCACCTGTGACCACAAACATTCCACAGTTGCTAGTTGTGGCCACTCACCTCAGACCACGACAGAAATCAGCATTACAAATGTTATTGCAGGTGTTCTCCAAGGCTTGGTTCTTGGTCCACACCTTTTATGAGATTCACCATATTCTTCCATGGTACAGGATGCCAGATGTGTGCTGATAGGGGTGTAAATCATCAGTCTGATACAATATATCAAAACAGTGGATAACATTTTCCTTTGTTTTAGGAGCTATGTTGATTTGAAATGATGTTACAAGGGTTTGAACACATTTTCTTCCTAGGGGAGATGGCTTCTTGCCTGTTTTCTCACTGTTCGCCATGATGCCGTCATGATACTTTAGGTGATGTGTAAGAGGAACTTCAAAAGAAAGAAATTTTCAAAATAAAAGTGTATTTGATTGATTTTTACATTTTAGATCAATGACCATGAAATCAATATATTTGTGTATTGTTACACTCCTAAAGTATTGATACAATTTTATAAATAGTTTGCAAAGATAATTCCATTCAGTAGTTCCATTCAAAAAGGGGAAGTTGTATATTAGATTAATTCATTACACACAGACTGATATATGTCAAAGTTTTATTTCTGTCAATATTGATGATTATAACTGACAAATAATGAAAATCCCAAATTCATTATCTCAGAATACTAAAATATTGTTAAAAGGTTCTTGTGAAGACCCCTGTTGCCACACTCTAATCAGCTAATTCACTCAAAACACCTGCAAAACCCTTTAAATGGTCTCTCAGTCTACTACTATCATAGGGAAGACTGCTGACTTGACATTTTTTGATAAGAAGACCATTGACATCTTGCACAAGGAGGGTGAGACACAAAAGGTCATTGCTAAAGAGGCTGTGTCCAGAGCTCTGTGTCCAAGCACATTAACAGAGAGGTGCAGGGAAGGACAAGATTTGGTAGAAAAGGTGTACAAGCAATAGGGATAACTGCACCCTGGAGAGGACTGTGAAACCAAACTCATTCAAAAATGGGGGGATATTCACAAAGCGTGGACTGCAGCTGGAGTCAGAGCTTCAAGAGCCACCACACAGATGTTTGCAAGACCTGGTTTAAGCTGTTGCACTCCCTGTGTCAAACCCCTCTTAACAAGAGACAGCTTCAGAAATGTCTCACCTAGAGTAAAGACAACAAGGACTGGACTGCTGCTGAGTGGTCCAAAGTTCTCTGATGAAAGTACATTTTGCATTTCCTTTGGAGAGCAAGGTCCCAGAGTCTGGAGGAAGAGAGAGGCTCAGAATCCATGTTGCATGAGGTTTGGTGTAAAGTTTCCATAGTCTGTGATGGTTTGGAGTGCCATGTCATCTGCTGGTGTTGGTCCATTGTGTTTTCTGATGTCCAAGGTCAACGCAGCTGTCTACCAGGACGTTTTAGAGCACTTCATGCTTCCTGCTGCTGACCAACTTTATGGAGATGCAGATTTCATTTTTCAACTGGACTTGGCTGCACAGTGCAAGAGCTACAGTTTAAGGACCATGGTATCCCTGTTCTTGGTTGGTCAGCAAACTCGCCTGACTTTAACCTCATAGAACATCTATGGGGTATTGTGAAGAAGAAGATGCAACACGCCAGATCCAACAATTCAGAAGAGCTGAAGGCCACTATCAGAGCAACATGGGCTCTCATAACACCTGAGCAGTGCCACAGACTGATGGACTCCAAGCCACACCATGTTGCTGAGTGGACCTGGCACCAAAATGCCGAAACAAACTCCATGTAGCTGTATTACTGTGCATCTACTCGACAATAAAGTTGTTAAATTCAAATCTGAAACTTTCAAGCAAGCCATGAAACATTTTCTCAACTCCGAAGATACCAGAGATGATGATGTCATGAATAATTGAACATTTTCTTTTTGTACATGATGCTGTTTTGCTACCTGTCTATGGTGAGGTCAATTAAAACAAGTTTATGGACATTTAATAACTTTGAACTATCCTCTGAGACTGTCCTTGATGGATCAAGGAAGCGATAGAGATAAGGAGACGTGGATGTGGGACCATGAACAGGGACGACGGAGTTTACACGCTGGACCACGCATGGGACTGCATCGTCGGAGAGGGGAGAGCGGGCAGTAGAGGGCGACAACGTCCTCTGCTGCCCGCAGATAAACGGAGAAGGAAGTGACGCGCCACCATCAGCGTCAGCCTGAAGAAGCCGGCAGCTGTCGGTGAAACCGTAGCTACAAACAGGTAAACAAAACTGTTTCTGTGTTTAAAAAAGAACGAAAAGCATGCATTTACAAAGACACAGCAAGAACACACCTAAGAAGGCTGTCATCACTCTACTGAGCATTATGGTTCCCCATCAAAAGGAGAAGAACGATCCATTAGAAATATTTTACTTAGTTTTTGTCAAATATTGAGGTTTTGGTTATAGACCATGACTGTTAATCAGAATATATTCTCATGATTATGTGTGCCAAAGCTTTTGCACCAAAGGAAAACATAAAAAGGAGTTAGAAAATCTGACATTTCTTTACAAAATAAGTGTGATGCTTTCAGGTTGCGTTTTAAAAGATTGGTGCACAACTGGAGAATAATTGTCTCAATCGGATTTTCTAGATCAAAATCCGACAAAAACATTCTAGTTTATGTGAGCACCTAAACATCCATTAATACTTGGCTGTTTTTAAAAGATAAGCTGCAGCTAAAACAGTCGTTTGTAGTTTTAATCACAGTAACTTGGTCTTAAAACTGCTTTTCTTCAAATCTGCAGTGTAGGTGACTGCTTTGTGTCCAGATCTGTACAGATGGTTCAGATCCATGATGATGGTGATGATGGCGTAGGTTTTGGCTTGGGATGCCAGACGTCTTTTGAGGTTCCGTCAAAAATGTTGAAGCTGTAGGAAGTCTGGAAGCTTCCATGCGGTTGTGATAGAGAGTCTCTCTCTCTGACGGGGCAAAACTCGACGATGCTTTTGGTTTCACCCCTCAGTGACGCAGCTCCATCTGCCCGAGCACCGTGGCTCGTGTCAGCCACACGCCGTATTTGAATGTCTTGGGTTCTATGTTGAATCTCAACAGAAAGACGTTATCTCTAAATAAATATTTTCCTCTTGTGTCTGTATTCCAATATTGTTCTTTATTTGAACCAAATGCCTTAAGATGAGATGTTGAGTTATGAGGAAAATGAAACACACAGCACCAAATGCCTGCTGGAAAGATTTCGTCTTTTCAACAAAGCACCTTTGCGCTTTCAGCAGATGGATACCCACGCTGCTTCCAAGACAAAAAAGGTCCCAACCGAAGCCTTACTTGGATTTTTTTTCCTGTTTCGGAAGGACCAGTTCCCAGAGAGGACCTGATGGCAGTTATTTGGGGCCCCATGGGGCTGGGCGCGTGCATTAGCCAGCCCCCTCTTTATCCAGGGTCTGACCAAAAAAAAAAAAAAAAAAAGCTGCTGCTTAAGACATTTAAATAACATAAACTTTTTCGGTTTTAGTTCTTAAATATTCCCATTGAAATATTTGTTTCAGCGTTAAACCTCCGTTTACCTCCATAAAACAAACAGCTTTCAATTTGGTGCGTAAAGTTTGCGTAAAACCGGCACTGTCTTAAATTTTAGATCAAATTAAAAACAAACTTATATATTTTTAGTTTATTTTCCCCACATCGATATCTTCATACAAACATTTTATTCTTGCTTCAGTAAAAAGCGGTTGGGTCTTTGTGTTTGAATGCTGCGGTTCAAAACCCGTCACCCTTTTATTCCGGTTTTTTATTAAAAAAAAAGCCAAAGACGCGCGCAGCGATGGTGAGAGCACACGGAGCCGAGACGGTGGGAACCTGTAGCTGAGGCAGACATGGGGGAGGGGGCTCTGTGTGGGGCATGGGGGTTGGGCAGAAACTGATGAGTGGAAGGTTGCCATCTGGTGCGCCGGTGGTGGCGCGTGCCGGACGCGTGATTCCCACGAGCAGCTCAAAGTCCAACAAAATATCAAAATAAAGAAAGGCGAAATTTAAAACTCTCAAATTAAAACTTGTTTCGTTCTCAATAGATAATTATTACACTTTCCTCTTCATTTTTTAGACTTTGAACCCACTAAATCAGACACAGCCTTTCAGGATTCAGATTTTGACTATTTACCAAGATGTTTCCATCTATTTTCCAAGCTTTTGAAAATAATGTTTATTTATTAGTTTATGCATGTACAATTCTCAAAAACGCACATTTTATTATATTATTAATGTTACTGGGTGTTCCAGTATCTCCCCTACTACAGGTAAAAGCTGTTGTTGACGTTGAAACGCGCTTCTGGGCTCCATAAACAGATGTTAATCCAAACCCAGCGTGGCTTGGGTGTCTGCTTCCTTCATTGGGGAGATGAATTAATCACAGCTTCAGATTCACTTATTTTGGCGTTGTGTGTGTTTGGTTGTGGCGGAAGGTGTGCAGACTTCACAGAAATAAAGATGACCTCAAAATAGTTTTAGCTTTTTGTTTGATCCATCTTGATTTTAATGAAATGACTTTTACTTGCATAACTGTTTGGGATATTGGAAATTAAACGTCATGGCTTAAATCTGAGTATGAACTGTGTGTTTATAAGTGAGAAATGCAACATTTTATTTAAAATGCAAGTGGGAGAAGTAAAATATATGATATATATATGAGACATACTGTTAAAAGACTCAAAAACAACAATCCACACCTTCTGTAGGGAAACAAACCTGAGTTAAAAGTGGTTTTATGTAACCAGATATCTGATGGACGTTGGAGCTCTAATATTTCAGCACAAACACGCAACATAATAACGAAACTCCGCATACCAGCGTACAAGAGACCAACCAGATGGTGCAGGCAGGGGCATCCAACCCCCACCCGCCCTCCCCCCCTTGAGTCCGTTCATCAGCGTCATCCCTCCCCTCTGACGCCCCGGAGCCAAATAAATAGGAGGCTCTCCAGCTCCACAGCACACTTGAGCTCAGCATCTCCAAGAACAAGTTTCTCCCCTCAAATACTTCCAGCAACATAAACAAACATGAGTCCCAGCATCACTGCTGAGGCCAGCCTGCCTACCCCTTCTCGGTCCACCGTGGCCCAGAGAAAACAAGCCAACGAACTCAGAAAGGTAAGGAAACCCCAGAAACTCACGAAGCTGTGGGCTATTTCTGATTTATCCTCCAGCTTTGCGACTAAATAACAGACAACTCATGTTTTATTGTTCTTTTTTCTTCCAGACTCTGAAACCGCTGCTGGAGAAAAGAAGGCGTGCTCGCATCAATGATAGTCTCAGCCACCTGAAGAGCCTGATTTTGCCTCTTATTGGCAAAGACAACGCACGCTACTCCAAACTGGAAAAGGCTGATATTCTAGAAATGACAGTCCGCTTCCTCAGAGACCTTCCTTCCTCTCCAGTCAAAGGTGAGCCTCGTCTCCAACAGGATCATCGTCTGAATAAATACAAATACTTATCCACTTTAACACTAAAGTACAAACTCTCATCATGTATCTTCTATTCCTCCCGCCAGACTCTGCAGACAGTTACAGAGAGGGCTACAAAGCTTGCCTACAGCGCGTCTCCGCGCTGCTCCCCAAAACCAGCATGGACCAGGACGCGTGCCAGCGCGTCCACGAGTTCGTGCAGCAGTCCATGTCCACCACCGTCACACCAACCTGCCTGAACTGCTGCGCCCAGAGCTCCAGAGCCATCCCTCAGATTCAGCAGCGACTCCAGAGCCTGAAGTCCAGTTTCTGCTCCAGACCAGAGAGCCAGTCTCGCAGCGGCGCAGCAGCTCCCAGAGCGCAGTCCGCTCCGCAGCCGCTCAGCGCTGCTGTATGGAGACCTTGGTAGAACCTCTGGATGTTTAATTCCCCTGTATTTATTTAGTCGTGTTTATATTCTATTATCAGCAGTTTTAGTGATTAATGTTGAAGTTAACTGAGCATTTGACTCATGTTGGCTTTGGATGCCATTTGGCACGAGCACAGATCTCACGCAATCCTCTTTGGGGTTTCAGAGACGCGGGTTGTAGACAACACTTGTAAAACCCCAAGGGTTATTTTGTACGAGGGTTGCACTGTGGACTTAAAGTATTTTGGTCTGCGCAACAGAACAGTCTGTAAACACTATGTGTTGATTATTTATTATTTGTCACATGTGTAAGAAAACATTTTGGAATGTTTGTCATTGACAAAAAAAGTTTTCAATAAAAAAATCGAACGAAGACTTAGTCTTGGTTGTTTTAGAGCTCTTCTTCACACCAGATGTCTTGATTTGATGATTCACGGGAAAAGAAAAGATATAAAAAAGGCGCGCAAACGCAGAAAGCCACAGGTCAACAAGAGCCCATTGATGCGGATGAGCAGCTGCTCTATTGTTGGTGAGGAGAGGCGCCTCCTTACCGCCAGAAATGTTGGAAGAAGTTGAGTCAGAAAAACTCCCACAAAGGTTACCAAGAGTTACAACTTGAGCCAAACTTGACTTGTTGCATAAGCACATATTTAATCATTTAAATTCAAACGATTAAAATTTCTGCTTTCTGTCAGTTTTATATTTGCCATAAATAAGAAAAGGTGATTTTACACTGTTATTTTCAAGCCTAAAGACTTTATCAGCACCAAACAGATGTTCGAACACAACATCATGTAAAATATCAAATATATAAACACATTTCTTAAGTGTCATATTAATAATGGTTAAGATTGATACTTCATTTAATTTAATTTCAGTTCTTTAAAACTGAGGTAGAAAGGAGTGGAACATCTTTTAGCTGCCTGTTAAGTTTTTGGGTGAAATAAAAGGAAAACAATGATTTTGAGTTTTCAGCTTATTCTTTGAGTTCTTTATTGGAAAAATGTTGTTTATTTAAATTTTCTATTTAGTTTTCACCTTTACTAAAAGATTTTTTGTAAGTCTTTATTCTCCAGGTAGGAAAGTTGATCCGTTTGTGAACAGATTTAAAGGCAGTCTTCTCCACTTTCTTTTGTTCTGTCAGTTCATCCGTCTGAGCTCTGTGATTCAGGCGTGGCTTGCTGAGTTTAGCTGACTCCAGAGTGAGCTTGTTATGAAGCTCTCCCGACAACACCTTGTATTTGTTGTGAAATTTCTTCCGATGTTGATTTATATTTAGAAAGGTTACTTCTCATCATGGACATAATTTTCACTTTAGAATTGGGGGGGGGGGGGGGGGGGGGGGGGCACGGGGGTATCTTTACAGTATGCTCTGGAAACAGGCTTCAACACAAACGGTTGTTTTCCACTTGGTCCTAGAGCTCAACCAGTGTCAATTTAATATAGCGTAATGTTGTTTTTGGATGGTAAAAAGTGCAGGGGTCAAAACTTGACTTTGGAAAAAGTGGGGGGGACATGTCCCCCCTGCCCCCCCCCCCCCCAAAAAAAATTACGTCCATGCTTCTCATACTTCTATGGTTGACTCGGCCTCCACACCTCAGATCCAAGATGTTCACCTCACCTCTAGTTCGTTTTAGATATTTAGGTGAAAATAAATGTATGTCCTTTTAAATTTGCTCAAGGTCTGGTGAAACACAAACATCACAGGTTTTTTTTTCGTTTTTTTCCCGTACAAATGTCATGTTAGAATGAAAACGACTTAAGGTTAGGATTGGGGTGAGGGGAAGGTTAAGTAGTTCACAAGTAGTTCTAATGTCCGTCTCACCACCGGCATCGGATACTGACACTCTGGGACGCTGCGTCAGCTGTTTGTCCCTGATTGTCGTCTCCTGACGTGCTGGGGCGTCCCGAATCGTCATATATTGAGGCTTGGTCACACGCGTCATATTTTGACGCCTTGGGTGTGAGAACGTGTTCTGGGATCACGTAGGGCCTGACCCGTTCCATGAAAATCCACCAAAATCAGACCTGCTACTCTGATGAAGACCACCATTGAAATCGATGACGGCATGCAGTTGAACATTATTTCAGAGGGAAGTTCAGAAATCCTCATTTATGGAATCAGCTGATTGTTGGTGACTCATGCATCTTAGTATAAGCCGTATGGTTTTATGTGGTCTTCTCTGATTGTTAAACTCAAGATTGCCACAAACCAGCAATCTAACCCTAACACAAACTCTTCTTCTAAGGGTCAAATCCTCACAGTTCCACACATTAAGTGACTGAACTATTTAGTTGTTTAAATGATAAATAACCTGCACTTGTATAGTGCCTTTCAGAGTCAGAGGACCCCAAAGCGCTTTACTCTACAGTGAATCATTCATCCGTTCACACACACTTTCACACACTGATGTTGATGAGCTATGATGTAGCCACAGCTGTCCTGGGGCGTACTGAGGTCAGCCTTCCAAGCACAAACGCCACCAGTTCCTCTGTCTGACCACCACCAGCAGGCAGAGGGTTAAGAGTCTTGCCCAAGGACACTACAGTGTCTGGCAGAAGCCGGGATTGAACCTACAACCTTCTGGACAGCCCAATCTACCTTTTGAGCTACTGCCGCACCTGTTTAATGTTCCTAATGTTCGTCGTCTCGTCGTCGTCGTCTTCCTCCGCTTATCCGGGTCCGGGTCGCGGGGGCAGCATCCCAACTAGGGAGCTCCAGGCCGTCCTCTCCCCGGCCTTGTCCACCAGCTCCTCCGGCAGGACCCCAAGGCGTTCCCGGACCAGATTGGAGATGTAACCTCTCCAACGTGTCCTGGGTCGACCCGGGGGCCTTCTGCCGGCAGGACATGCCCGAAACACCTCCCCGGGGAGGCGTCCAGGAGGCATCCTGACCAGATGCCCAAACCACCTCAACTGGCTCCTTTCGATCCGGAGGAGCAGCGGTTCTACTCCGAGTCCCTCCCGAATGTCCGAGCTCCTCACCCTATCTCTAAGGCTGAGCCCGGCCACCCTACGGAGGAAACTCATTTCGGCCGCTTGTATCCGCGATCTCGTTCTTTTTGTCATTACCCAAAGCTCATGACCATAGGTGAGGATTGGGACGTAGATCGACCGGTAAATCGAGAGCCTGGCTTTCTGGCTCAGCTCCCTCTTCCCCACGACAGATCGGCTCAGCGTCCGCATCACTGCAGACGCCGAACCAATCCGCCTGTCGATCTCCCGATCCCTCCTACCCTCACTCGTGAACAAGACCCCGAGATACTTAAACTCCTCCACTTGAGGTAGGACCTCTCCCCCGACCTGGAGGTGGCAAGCCACCCTTTTCCGGTCGAGAACCATGGTCTCAGATTTGGAGGTGCTGATCCTCATCCCAGCCGCTTCACATTCGGCCGCGAACCTACCCAGCAAGAGCTGAAGGTCAGAGCTGGATGAAGCTAGGAGGACCACATCATCCGCAAAAAGCAGAGACGAGATTCTCCTGCCACCAAACTTGACACACTCCACACCACGGCTGCGTCTAGAAATTCTGTCCATAAAAGTGATGAACAGAACCGGTGACAAAGGGCAGCCCTGGCGGAGTCTAACCCTCACCGGGAACAGGTCCGACTTACTACCGGCTATGCGGACCAAACTCACGCTCCTCTGGTAAAGGGACTGAATGGCCCTTAACAGAAAGCCACCCACCCCATACTCCTGGAGCGTCCCCCACAGGGTGCCCCTGGGGACACGGTCATAAGCCTTCTCCAAATCCACAAAACACATGTGGATTGGTTGGGCAAACTCCCATGCCCCCTCCATCACCCTTGCAAGGGTATAGAGCTGGTCCACAGTTCCACGGCCAGGACGAAAACCACATTGCTCCTCCTCTATCTGAGATTCAACTATCGATCGGACCCTCCTCTCCAGTACCTTGGAGTAGACCTTTCCAGGGAGGCTGAGGAGTGTGATCCCCCTATAGTTGGAACACACCCTCAGGTCACCCTTCTTAAAGATGGGGACCACCACCCCGGTCTGCCACTCCCTAGGAACTGCCCCCGATGACCACGCAATGTTGTAGAGACGTGTCAACCATGACAGCCCTACAACATCCATAGCCTTGAGATACCCAGGACGAACCTCATCCGCCCCCGGGTCTCCGCCGCTGTGTAGTTGTTTGACTACCTCAGCAACTTCTGCCCCCGAGATCGGACAGTCCATCCCCAGGCCTCCCAGCTCTGGTTCCTCCTCGGAATGCGCATTGGTGGGATTGAGGAGCTCCTCAAAGTATTCCTTCCACCGTCCGACTATAGCCTCCTAATGTTCCTAATGTTAAAGTGTTAATGACCGGATCATCTGCATGAGAAAACTAGGTGGTGCAGCCAAATCTTCTGAACTGGACCAAAGCAACCACATTATTCCTGCTGGGAGGGGAAAGAACTCGGGAACACAGACAAAATCATTCTTTAGACAATGTTGCATCTTAGACGTAGAGGTTGTCCATGGCTTTAACAAATGTTGCCTTCCGCTGCCCACGCCACCATGAGCCAAATTAGTCGTTTTCTGTCCACAGAATAAAACTGGAGCTCTGGCAGAGTGACCATCAGGTTCTTGGTCACCTCCCTGATGTAGGCCCTTCTTCCTTGATTGCTCATTTGAGATGACCAATCAGCTTTAGAAAGAGCCCTGAGGTTTTAGATATCTCCCACTCATGCATGATGGAGACCACTGGGCCCTTCAATGCAACTGTCGCGTTGAGGGAAAGGTTGGACCAAATGTTCAGGAACCCAGAACAACTCGAGGAGATGAGGTGTGTAAAATCAACACATTCTCACACCCTAAGCGTCGGAAACAAACGCTTGGTCAGCCACCCTCCACGTCAGACCCCAGACGCCAAAAGTGATCTTTTTCGTTACTTATATGCAAAAAGGTTTTTTCCCTTTTCTGACTGCAGATCCCAATGCAGCGTAAAACTGACGTGATGAGATATCCGCTGATGCGGCACCGAACCAGCTCATTTAACCGCACCTAAACCTTAACGTTTCACAGTGTAACACTGCATTGGGATCTGCAGTCAAATAAGGGGAAAACCCCTTTTCGCACATAAGTAACGAAAAAGGGCACTTTGGCGTCTAGGGTCTGACGTGGAGGGTGGCTGACCAAGCGTTTGTTTTTGACACGCTGGGAGTGAGAATGTGTTGGTAAAATACAAAGTCTTTATTTTGAGAAACACAAAAAACTTATTCGAAAATATTCAAAACCAAGGGAGCCAACTAGAACTCAAAATCACACAGGAAAAAACTCAAAAAACCAAAAACACTGGGAAATGGAAATCAGAGGGCTACAATGAACCGACAAACACAGAAGACAAGAACGGGGCTTAAATACGCAGGGCTGGATGATTAAGGGAACTGGGCACAGGTGGGACTAATAAACTGAGAGGAGAAGCAGAACCCAGCAGGGGAGGAAATCAGACATAAAACCTGTAAAACAAAGAAATCTAAACACTATAGAAATAAGGTCACTAAGGACTAAACTAATGACCTAAAGAGTTATAGAACAAAATACACTGAAAGGCTGGGGGAAAATACAGTAAATGACACAACAAGGAGGGGAACCATGATGTGACACAGGAGACGAGGACACAGAGCATGACAGACTCTAGTGAAGCTGCAGCTCAAGGATGATTGGTGGAAACAGGATGCAACTGCACTAAATTTTGAGCGTCGTGTTAAAGCATGATAAACACTTCCGTACATTTGATTTCTCTCTTTTTAAAAACTTGTAATAAATCTGCAAAAATCTCCCAGAAACCTTTGTCACGTCATTATGAGGTGCTGTGTACATTTATGAGGAGAACTGGATTTAATCCATTTTGAATTATATTAATAATTAATAATTATTAACATAAAAACACAGAAAATGTGATGCTCCGTGAATCTATTTGCAGAAAAACAATAGAGCACAGTGGTCAACAATATTCACAGCATCATGTTTAATGTGAACTAAACCAACACAAGCTCCCTTTACTTGTCAAGCACAGTGATGGAGGGTTGGTGATTTGGTCTTGTTTTGCAGCTACAGCCCAGGACCTTGTGGTCGTAGTCCAACGAGGAGTCCAGTTGTCCACCAGCTGAAGCTGACTGAATTTGGGTCATTCAACAGGACTGTGATGCCAAACACAGCAGCAAAATGATGAAAGTATGCAAAGAAAACAGAATCACTGTGTTGTAAAAACCCATTCAAGGTCTTGACCTAAACCTGAAAGGCTGATGTGAGCCAGCATTGAAAAGTGGGTGAACATTTACTGCTGGCGTTGTGACAGAGTTAGCAGGTCATGCACAAGACAATGAAGTTATTGCAGCAAAAAGTGGTTTGAAATCAATTTCTCTGATTGTGCATTTAATTTCTCTGGTTTTATGCAACACTTCCATGCTTCAAACCTTTAAGCCAGTCAGTATTCGCCGTGTGTCAAGGGCTATTTAAAAAGTGGTGAAAGGACACTGGCATGTAACTGATTGTTTATTCCTGTGTCCTAAAATAAAGCAGAAGTCATCCTGTTGATAAGAAGGAGGCTGCAAACCCGGACAGTAGTCTTGGCCCACTAGCACCATTCAGTCGATCCTCTGTGAAAAACCCTGGAGTCGCTCGAGTCCTTTGGCAAACACATCAGTTCAGTTTCCCAATGTGGTTTCTTAGCTAAAGTAATGATCACTTTCTTTCAGAAAAACTTTCAAAACCTCATCCATGCTTTCTTTACAACACCTTGATAACTGCAGTTCTATATATAAGGGTTTAAATCAGTCCTCCCTCCACCGTCACCACACAATGGTGAATTCCATCTTCACATTCCTCGTGGGGAGCGGTGAGCTGCAGCTGTGGCTGCGCTTGGGAACTATTTGGTGGTTTAACCCCCCAATCCATCCCCTTAAAACAGAGAGCCAGGAGGCATTGGGTCCCATTTTAAAAGTCTTTTGTATTACCCGACCAGCATTTGAACCCCTATCTCCCAGTTCCAGGGCGGACACTCGATCCATCTTCCTTGCAGGGGCAGCAGCAGAGCGCCCCAGATTTCCTTCCCCCAGTCACTTGGACCAGCTCCTCCAACGAAATCCTAAATCATTCCAAGGCCAGCTGAGTCCCTCCATTGTGTCCTGGGTCTTCCTTTAGATCTCCTAATGATTGGACATGCCTGGAAAACCTCATGAAGGATGCATCCTACCTAGATGCCCGAGCCACCTCGACTGAAGTGTTGCATTTAAATCTGTTTCCATGATATTATGGTGATGCTGCAACACTTTGTGCCCCCCTGGTTGCTAAAAAGTGCTATAAAAACTAAAGAGACATAATAATTTGGTCAGATCAAACACGTTCTCACTCCCAACGCGTCAAAAACAAACGATTGGTCAGCCACCCTCCGCGTCAGACCCCTGACGCCAAAAGTGCCCTTTTTCGTCACTTACGTGTAAAAAGGGTTTTTTCCCTTTTCTGACTGCAGATCCCAATGCAGCGTAAAACTGACGCGATGGGATGTCCGCAGCCAGGGCACCAAACAAGCTCAATGTACCTCACCCTAACCAGTCCTGCTCCCTCCCTGCTGTTCAGGATGTTGGACAGGTCCGTCGTCAGGCTGGCCTCCACCTCTGCCCGCCTTCGCTCTCCCGGCTGCATACCATCAACTAATGAGGACAGATGGTTTAAAAGACTGCAGCTTCAGTTTCTCAGAGAGAGATTCACAGCTTAACACCCTATCTTTCTCTCCTCGATTTTGATCTTAGTGACAAACGACTTAGATTTGGTGAAATTCGATAAAGAACTTGAATGAGTGTGATAATTAAGATAAATTGTTCCTTTTGTGTCACCATCGAGTAATTATTAGTCTTTTTCGTTTAGTGATCCCGTTTTGTCTGCCCTAGTGCTTGAATTTCAGTTTGTTTTCCGCTTTAGAGCTCGCTTTAAGTTTTTTTTGCAAGAATATTTAGAATAGAGATAGCCGTCGAGATTTGTTTTAGTTAGTTAGTTCTGGCATTTTTCTTTTGTTTGTTAGTACCAATATTCTCGTACTTTCTTCTCTGAGACCATTTGTCTCAGGTGTTTTGAGTTTTTTTCCGTCGCCTTCTTTAGTTATATCCGTTTTGTATTTTCCAGTCAAGGACTGAATGATTGTATTTGCCTTTTGTTAATAAAATAATTTTATTTACACTCACCTCTTTTTCCACACCAGTTTTTATGTTACCCCTCTACCACAATGCCTAAACAGCTTCAGGGTTTGTAACATAAATGTCCTCCTCACGCCTATCCTAACCTTAACCATCTTGCTACATTAGTGATGTGCCGGTTGCTCTAAAAGCCGGCCCTATGAAGTGAACGGCGGGTGCCCTCGTCATTGGTCGGGTTTGGACCAAGCCAACGCGAGGGGCAGGTTTCAGCTACCAAGGTGGACGTTCAAAGTAGAGGGCATTTGTAACCTCCCCCTCGCCAGATGGTATGTTCCAATGTTCCCCTTGGGCGGCAAATACGAAAATTCAGAGTCAGAATGAATGGGAAACAAACGCTTGATCACAGTGAGAGTAATGTTTTAGGTAGCAAGAGGGTTAAGGTTAGGATGAGGGTGAGGGGAAGGTTATAAATAGCAAAACGTTAAGGTTTAGGTGCGGTTAAATGAGTTGGTTCGGTGCCGCATCAGCGGATATCCCATTGCGTCAGTTTTACGCTGCATTGGGATCTGCAGTCAGAAAAGGGGAAAACCCCTTTTCGCACATAAATGACGATAAAGGGCACCTTTGCATCAGGGGTCTGACGCGGAGGGTGGCTGACCAAGTGTTTGTTTTTGACGCGCTGGGAGTGTCAGATCAGACCTGACCCCTGCGGTTTCATCACTCCCTCTTAGTTCTATTCATCCAGGTGTAATTCTTGTGGCCATTTAAACAAATCTAACTCCTCATCCAAATCTCACACATTTAATCTTACACATCTATAGCATTATATCTAGGTGTTGAAATGTCTGGTTTCTGTTGGTAAAACTAACGTAAGACCATACCAGTAAACACGTTGTAGAACAGTTTATGCTATTGCTATTATAGCTTAGAAGGATCCAGTTTGAAATCCTGCAAGTATGTTTGTGAGATTTCAATCTTTGGATATATTTCTTGGTTGATTTGCCTCTGATCTCATTTTCTGTTGACAGACCAACCACTTTTACTCCAACAATAGTTGTGGTTAATGTTTACCAGGAACTGTGAATATAGCACCACTATATTTAGGTAAACTTATATTTTATTTACACTTCAAAGGATTAAACTGAGTGTGTGGATCTGAAAATATACTTCCTTTATTCCATTTAACAGAAGAAGAACAGTTTTATTTGACATGCACCTCATTTTGTGTCAAGAATTCAAAAATTCTTTTTTTTTTCCCTCATCATGATGTGTCCCTTTCACATCAGGTTGCACCAGAAGTCACCTGCTTCCTATCTTGATGTGTCGGTGGGCAGCCAGACAAAGGCTCCCTGTTATCCTGGCTGCACAGATGGGTTGCAGACGCCAAATTTGCTTGAAAAGACAAAAGAGCACTCTAACCGTAAGAGGAAAAACGAAGTAGTGCTGCTGACCTCCCCCTCCCTCCAACTTCACCATCCCTGTCCCAGCGGGTGGTGAGGGGCGCGTGCAGCAAGTGTGCCTCTAAATATCAGGACTGGGTTGATGCTGTCATTCACGTTAAAATTAAGCAAACTATTCGCCAAGTTTTATTTACTTTTACTTTTAAATTGAGAAATCAAATTAAATGTAAACATCTATAGGCAATTTTCGCCGTGCGAATTGTATTTTCATTGTTTATCATTAAAATCAACTGGATTTGCGTAGTTTCTATTCAATGGCTGATTTTGCACGTTTTACTTTTTTTGTCATGCAAAAACTGCACATTTTTTAAAACGAATGACGCTTCTCCCCCAAAAGATTTACAGGATAATTTCCAGATTTGATATGCCGTTGGTTGCTTGGATGCTGAAAACGTCCAAGAAGCCAAAGGAGACAATTGCGTCATGGACGTGTTTGGGGAGAGGGGGGTTGAGAATAATTTTTTTTCAGTTGGACGAGCATGGACCTATAGGAACACGGGATACCAACGCCAAAGCTGCGTGGACATCATGTGTCTGCATTTGAAGTTTATAGAAAAAAAACACACGCGTAAATCCGTGAGGGTGAGCTAGGATGTGAGCTGGCTTCGGTGGGACCCGGAGGTGAACAGGGTGAAGAATGGGTGGGGGGTTGGTCACAGCGCGAAGGAGGGGCTGGGATCTTTGTAACAGACAACCATCTGGTCCCCGTGGCGCGTGCTGCGCGCGTGGTTCCCCTGAGTGCTGAGGCATTTGATGGACTGTCATCTCTCCCAGTTTTTAGTAATAATAGAAGAAGAAAAAAACGGTTTCACCATGTTTGCAAATCTTCTGATCGATGAAAAGTTATATTAATCAAATTAACTATTTAGAGGTCTGCGTAAAGTCAAAATATTTAAATTTAGCCAGAACACACTGGGTGATTTTATATTTCATGGTGTCTTTTGTGACCAGCATGCACCGCCCTATCCCCTCCTTCCGTTAGACAGCCCCCACCTCGCTGCACGAAGCGTCAGCAGCAGTCGGATACCCCCTCCAGGTAGTGACTCCCGCAGGCAGAAACTGCATAGACACGTCACATGGATATGCTAAACTATTGTGGTTAAAATATAAGAGCAGATGTCAGTTGAAAGTATGGCGTGGCTTGGGTATGATTAAAGCAAGAGTGTGTTTGTGAATTATTTTCCACACACACGTCTGACCCATCTACATGGTTCATGTAGTTAGTCCCGTTGTGTTGAGTAGACATCCGTCTAAAATATCTAAAATACAATAATTTAAAAATAAATCACACATATAGAGATCAACATGGCTCTTTGTTCACATGACAGAATTACGCATCTTGGAAACCTCACCAAGAAACTGCATCAGATAAACAAATACACGCACATTGAGAATGTATTTTAGACATTTTAAAGTTATATGTAAAAAGAATAAGAGTTAGTTTAATTGTTTAAAATACATTTATGATTTTAGGTATTAGGCAGAAATATAAGCTGTACATTTTTGCATTTACCTTGGATCACTGTGTAATTACGCACCAGCAACTGTGTGTAGTGTTTTGTTTTAAACACAAAATAATTTTCAACAAAGGTAAAAAAAAAAAATATCGAAGCAAAGTTGTTTACTGATTCGTGGGTTTGGAATAAGCTACTGCGTTTGGCATTTATGCGTCTTTACGCACGGATCTCTGCAGCTTTTTGACGCAGCGTTTTTTTTTCTTTCTCTAATGCAGACACGCACATCGGCGTCGCATATATTAAAGTTGAAACAGATGGTTATCTTATTAAACTTGAGGCTTTGTGTTGTTTTTATGGAATAGGAGCTGGTCCAAATCGTTTTGAGTTGGCTTGGGGGCGTAGCCGTGACGCACGGAAACCAAAGCCGTGGGCCTGGATAAATACCGCACTTCCTGGCCGTTAGAGACACTTCTTCTACGATTTCGTTTCTGAACACTTCTGTGACACAAATATGACGATGAACATGTCTCCAAACATGACTTATGAAGCTCCTGCGCCTCTTTCTCCAAGGCTGACTGTTGCTCAAAGAAAAGAGGCTCTTGAACTGAGAAAGGTGAGTGAAGGGACTAATTTGTCTGAACATTTATTATCTTTTTTATCATGTTTAAATATTGTTTTGAACGTATTCTAACATATCTGTTTTCTTTTCAGACAATGAAACCACTGATGGAAAAAAGAAGGCGCGCTCGTATCAACGACAGCCTAAACCGCCTGAAAAACCTCATCCTTCCTCTCACGGGCAGAGACGTAAGCTGCTTTTATTGTATATTTTCATTATGCTCATTTAGAAAATATATTTACACATGAAGACTTTGCCTAGGGTCACGTGTCTAACGTTGAATTTTACTTCTTATCTGTAGAAGACATTCTACTCCAAACTGGAGAAAGCTGACATCCTAGAAATGACCGTGCGCTTCCTCAGTGACGTTCCACCTGTCAGCACCAAAAGTAAGTTTGGATTTTGCTTATTTACCATTTTTCATCAGGTGCACACACAGTTGGTTTCTTGATGAAGCAACAAAACTAACATTCTCTTGTCTTTTTAGACCCAGCAGACAGTTACAACAAAGGCGTTAAAGCCTGTCTCCAGCGCGTCTCCGCTTTGCTCCCCAAGATAAACTTGGAAGAAGATGCGTGCAAAAGGGTCAACAGCTTCATCCAGAAGACTGCGTCTGCTACGAACACCCCGACCTGCCTGAACTGCTGTGCGCAGAGCTCCAGGACATCCCCTCAGATCCAGCAGAGACTCCGGAGCCTGAAATCCAGCTTCAGCTCCAAACTGGAGAGCCAGACCCGCAGCAGCTCAGCAGCAGCACCCGTCAGAGCGCAGAGCGGCCCGCAGCCGCTCAGCACTAATGTATGGAGACCCTGGTAGATTCAGTTTTTCTAAAATCACTGTAAAAATTGTAAAGTAATTTAAATTAGGGGAATGTTTTGAAATTATAGCATATCTTGTATTTTTCTTTTTACCTTTTAAACACTTATTTGATGTTAAGTATCATATACTTAAGTATTGCGCGCGAGTCTGTTGTCTTATATAAAAATGGCAAATTTAGACGGTCGTATTTTTCTTAAATCCGCATGTATGTACACGTCAAGTATTTAGTCCTCGTCCTGGACTGAGTGATGAAGGGCTATTGAAACAGCCCTGTAAGACCCAAAGGGTCAGTGTAAAGTTACATTTGCATCACAGACTTCCTTTCTAAGTCTGTGCAGATGAGCAGTGTAGACATGTATTGTCTCAGTGTATATCTCTTTTGAGATGATGTGTTTTATTTTTGCTATTTTCAGCAAATGTTGTATATGTATATATGATGTAAATAAAACTGCAATGTTGTGGTTACACGTTCAGTTTGTCGTTCATTGTTCACACTGTATTCACCTGTTCACCTATTTAATGAATACATAAGATGTTAAGTATAAATGGAACACTGTCAAATGGAATGAAGTCACGTCTTACATATAGCCACTATATTAAAGTTCTTCTTCTTCTTCTTGTTGTTATTATTATTAAAGGCCACTGGGAATTTATCAATGTACATATATGCAAAACAAACAAAGAAACAAACAAAAAATAAACAACTTACAATTGATGACATGATGCAACACATTTGAGCGGTGTCGATGCGCCCCTACAGGCAAAACGAATTATTACATGTTAAGTAACTTTGAGCGGTCTCTGCTGCCCCCTTTTGGTGACTCCGAGTAATGTGCACGTTTTACTTCCTCTTTCTGAAAAGCATTTTGCTCTAAATAATAAAATAAAACAGTTTCACACTAATTTACACCAAATAAAGTCAAATGATTTGAGACTATTAAAACACAATTTAATTCCACATATACATTATCCATGTGCTCTACTGCAGGGTTGGACTTTTATTTCCTAATTCTCTTTTTTTATTTTTCTTAATTTTACGTTTACTGTTATATTATAATTAACAACAACAACAACAACAACAACACCAACAAAATAATAATAATAATAATAATAATAATAATAATAATAATAATAATAATAATTATTATTATTATTGTTATTATTATTCAAAACATTTTACTGTAATAATTTGTCACTCCAGGTATTTGCATTTTAACTTTTTTTCCCCAATCTCCACTAATTTCTCAAACTCAATTGGCAAAATATAACCTCAGTCAAAGGGGCAGGGCGAAGGATTTCATTGGATGAGTCCAATGTCCTTCAAGAGAATCAACCAATGGGCTGTTGCGGTCAATAAAAATGGTTTATAATATACTTTTCGGTCAAATGCTGTGACAGTTTATGGGTCTGGCCTGGAAATGTGTGTCTGCCCGCCGGGCATTGCCTGTTGAGCCAGCTGGCCCGCCCATGCCTGCTCTCCATTACTTTCTAATCGACTCTTTTTATCAGGGACACCAGACTTCAACAGAATACCGGGGGAGCCTAGTTTCACTTTACACCGGCAGGAATCTTTCTTTCACAGATGTCTGTACCACAGATGCGCGAAGCTTCCCCATCCTCCCTCCAGCTGTGCAGGTATTGCTGTTTGTTCCGGTTTTATGCATCAACACGCACAGGCTACTAAACATGCTAGCGACCGGTAGTGATGGTAAGGGCAAACGATGCGACAGCCGTTCATGAACAGAATAGTAAACCTGATAATTCGCTTCAGGTTCCGTTTTAACACCACACACTCAATACCATATATTTTCTAGAGCATCTCTGTGTTTCCGGTGACAATTAATTCTGTTCTGGTTTGGTATATCGGGGATTTCAGGGGCGGTTCTAGGAGGACCTAGAGTGGGCTATTGCCACCCCTACAGCAAGCTTGGACCCCTTGTACCCCCCTTGATAATTAGTTTAGATATGTTTAATGATAATTTAGCTTTAAAAAGGTGTGAAAACAGCTAGGGCTGAACAATTTAGGAAAATTATCTCATTGTGATTTTTTTTCAATATTGCAATTGTGATTTAATTCACGATCATTTTCTCAAAGGGCTTTCCTCATTTTTCAACCAACAGAAGCAAAAAAAATCTATGTAACTTGTAGTGAATATAAACAAGTTTATGTGTCTACATATTTATCTACATATCATATAAATCACATATCAACAAGTTTATTTGTCTACATATGCATAAACACTCACAAGTAAAGAAAAAATGTTGTATTTGAAGGTGCAATGATTTGCAGCCAGGAGCACATCCCTTGAAGGAGCATAGGTATTGGTACTGTGAAAATGGATTTGCAGGAAAGAAGTGTGTCCCAATTATTAAAGTATTTTGTGTTTAGAGTTTTTGATGTCTTGTCCATGCTGAGTTTCCATAGTTCAGTTACGTTCATAGCTGCTAGCCAAAACTCTGTGGAGTTGAAATCTCTTACAGTTTTCTAGCTTTACTAAATTATCTGTTTGTACTTATTTGATTAATGGCAGATTTACTTTTTATTAGACTCCAAATGTAATAATTTGGCATGTTCCTAATTCATAATTTGTAAGAATGTAATTGGCATTGAGCTAACCACTCGCTGCCAGTCAAATCACAGCCTTTGCGATTAGAAAACCTCCCTTTGTCACATCGCAATTTAATTGCATATGCAATTAATCGTTCAGCCCTAGAAACAGCATGTGAATGAATTTATCTAAAGTTAAAAAGAGTTGCTGAGACAACTACTTTAATGTTGTCACTGAGATAAAAACTCAGCTATCAGTGTATTTTTTGGAATTTTTTATACGTTGAAACTTATTAGAAACTATTGTATCTAAAACAACTATAACCAAATTGCTGGTGTTATATTCTAATTTCACACCAGAATTTGAAACAATTTAAAGCGTGTTTGCAATGTTTTCTTACAAATGTGCCTCTAACAGAGTAGCTGGCCTCAGCTTGCCCCTTTATAATATTAGAGCCTCATCTGTGGTGCTACTTCTGTGCTAACCCCAGAGCAGTTAACTTTAAGGTGGCAAATTAACCCTTTGATGCATGAATTATGAAATCTTCAACCATGATTTTTTAAACAATTTTTTTCTTTCATCTTTAGGTGTGAATGAAACAAATTTCATATTTACATATTTTTTGTAACATTTAATGTACACACAGTTTATTACATGTCCACCTCAGTGGACAGCATGTATTCTGAACATGAAATATGTTGGCTTGACTTACTGAAGTCCAAATGGAGGGGCTCAAATGCAATGAAGTCTTCAACAGCTGTGTTTGATAGCAAAAATAAATAAATAACAATTTTGAGTACCTGTCCACTGTAGTGACCATTATGCATCAAAGGGTTAACAATAACAACAACACAAAAATGACACGATGAACCTTGCAGAGAAAGTATAGTTTTAGCCATTTAGCAGTGATTAGGAAAATGCAAAGACCCCAGTCTGTTTTGATAAGCAGAATACATTTTCTTATAAAATAAAGGCAGATTGAATTTTTCAGTAGTGAAGTGGATGGAATCACTTGTTGGTATAAAAATAACCACAATGTTAATTAATTATGAGCTAAACATAAGAAGAAACTAATGAAACTATGACAAAAATTGTTTTCGTGTACCTACATTTTACATTTATGTCCATTGCAGTACAATTATGTATAATTTATTTATTTGATTAAATAAATTACAAAATACGTCAACTATTTAAATTTTTTATATTAGAGGAGTTTTCTATTTTTCTGACTACTTACTAATATATTAAAGTATTGCGACTTTTACTGGAGTACAAGCCTTGGGCTCCTCTACCTTCCTATGGCACTGGTGCGTATCTCCCAAACAGACGTCTCTGCAGTGTATATGCTTTTGTCACTCCTCTTCCCAAAAGCCAAAAACACAAAACTAAATGATGTGTGAGTCTCTTTCTAACTTTTAGGCACCTCTTGTTGATTCCATTATCACTGGTAATTACCATTAACACTACTGGAATTGGTGGTGACCCAACCAGCCCTTCCATGTTGGGCAAAGCCCAATGAAATCCAGCCCCTTCCCTTTGGCTTTAAAATATTTTGATTAGAAATTTGCATTTAAATTAAAATAATTCACGTACAGCCTCAGGAAAAGTCTGATGTGGTAAAAAAAAACAACAACAACAACAACAAAACAAAAGAAAATCAACACAGTCAAATTTGTGTAATATCCATATGTATGTGTTTCTGTATGTTTATGGCATCATTGGCATATCATAACAAACCACATGATGTACCATGAAATAATAATAGTATTAAACAAAAACAACCACCTTGAAGCAGCACCATCTGCTCCTTTGTAACGAAAAACAAAAACCCAACTTTTATGTAGTTTTGCTCCCAGTATGTCGATCCTGGAACAACAATAAAGAGGTAGAAAGGATATTTCTCTCAGCTGGCGTGCTTATTATCAGTATCCTGGCTATCTGTCAAAATAATTCACTCATCAAGGGTATTTTGCTGCAAATTGTTCCAACACAAGATAAAAATGTAACCATTTTAACAAGTTTTTGCTAGTCAAATTATGGCCAATAGTCCTTAGCCCTTATGCTACTGTATACGTCAATGCCTGTTGTATTTCCTGCTCTTCCTGTCTGACACACACCTCCATGTGCTGATAAGAGACCTTACTGGTTCATACCTACCTGAGAAGAATATAGATAAGAGACCTTACTGGTTCATACCTACCTGAGAAGAATATACAGAGTTCCGGTTTATCCAGTAATGACTCTCAAGGTGGTTCCAGCATTCAAAACGTGTGACATCACCTACAGTGGCGTCGTCAGAAGTGCTGAACTTACAGTGTAGGAGTGTGTTGATGCAAAAGGCGAGAGTCAGCTTGGGTGTGAACTTGCATTGCTCTCAGATGCTTAGCAGCAAGGAAGCTGATAAAATGGATGAAACAGCTGCAGTGATGAGGAAACAGCAGTCGGGTCAAAGCCAGCCAATCAGCAGGGATGTCTGTAGAGGAGGGGGCGACAAATTACAACTCTGCAGGTAATTCATTCCTACTCCGTGATCAGAACAGTTCCCTTCTCTAATCATTAAATATCAAGATCTCATACGTTTGTGAATGGGCTGTCTTGTTGAACACACACACACACCTCCGACTGCTCCCTCAAACTGGATATTGTCTCTATTGCAAGATCAGATTTAACTGTTTTGCTGTTGTGTTCATGAAATAACTTCTCCTTTTCATCGTTGTAAATCCGTGTTTTTTCAGCGTTTGTATCTGTGATGGAACCCTAACCCTATTCTGTGTTGTTTCTCTTACCTGAACAACATTTTACTGGAACTGATCAACACTTCATGTTTATAATAAACAAACTATAAAGTTCTATGGGAAATGTGTTGGGATTACTAGTAACGTCAAGGTGTGGATTTTTGTCCCATCTGATGTCTGATTCAGGGATTAGTCAGATCCAAGACTAATGGCGGAGACTTATGTGGCTTAACTTTTACTTGTTTGTGACTTCAGAAGATTAGATAGGAACCTGTTGGTCTGGATTGATGCGCTCAGTGAGGAACTGGATTCAGATGGTGCTTATGACACCTCCTGCTAGAGATTATGTTCCAGATGACCAATTAAGGATTTATTCCAGCCTGTTCTTTGAGCTGAGTGGCTATGGTAAAGAAAACAATCCCATCAACTTTTTTTTGATAATTTTGCATTATATATGTTTTTATTGTAAGGTAATTTTATATTATGTGATATTTTATTAGTTTATTTTTTTTTTATCTCAAATTTTAACCCCAATTGTGTATTCACTGTTCGGGTATATTCCTGTTGAATTTCATAAGTTGTTCTATTAAATTTCAGCAAAATTCATAACCAGTTTATTATAATTAGTGGGTCACAGGAAATCTTTTAAAGCAGAAATCTTGAGTTTTTTTTTTGTCTGAATGCACCGCCTAGAGGTGAAAAAATGTATTATGCCATAAGCCCCACCCCCTTCAAACAAACTTATGGATGACTTGTCCATAAGAAATGTTGCAAACTTTGCACACTCTGTGATTGTATGTAAGCGAGTATCTAACGCTATTGGCTAATGCAGAGCGACGCCTAATTAAAATTACTCTAGCCTCTGTGGGACGGGGGACTTTGCAAAAAAATAAGAAACTTTTACGGATTTCTAAAAAAATCGTACATAATTCCTGAAGTGACCGAAAATTCTGTGTAGCTGCTTTAATATAAAGTTAGGCAGAAACACGCCAACATTTTTCTCTTTCTGATCCAGGGTGATGAGACCGGACGATGCGAATATTATGGGCAACGTTCACGGTGGCATCATCCTCAAGATGATTGAGGAAGCTGGAGCCATCGTTGGCACGCGGCACTGCAACACACTCAATGGAGTAAGTGTCATATCTTGCGTCATCTGTCACATGGTGAACTTTATTTTACTGTTGCTTTTATCGTCTCATCTGCTGTGGCATTTTTTTCATATTCTGGATGTTGTCTGTGAAGGTTCTCAGTCATCCAGGTCATTGTAGTCTAAGAAGTTTTGAAAGAAAAGCGTCTGGACTTCTTTGAGTTGCTTGAAGACGTTTCACCTCTCATCCAAGAGGCTTCTTCAGTTCTAAGGTCAAACGTTGGAGAGTCCCAGATTCAAACCCAGTGAGAGTTTCCACCCGAAGAGGGAACAAAAGGCCCCCTGATGATCTTCTACACATGACTACACATGAGCCAAGGTGTAAGGGTGGGTGTGGGTCCTATTCAGCCAGAGTTTCGGGTGAGATCATTGTGAAACCTGGCCCCACCCTATCATGTGAATTCCTGAGGTCAGATGGCCCATGATATGCGTGGGCGTTGAGGCATCTGGGAAGGGATCTCAAAACTGAATTGTAGATGGCAGACAGTTGGTGTCGTAAATCACCGCCTCTGTTCAAAAATGGTTGCTCACAGTGGACATAAATGGCTTCCTTTACTCCTGTTTCAAACCATCTGTCCTCTCTGTCCAAAATGCGAACATTGGCATCCTCGAAAGAGTGACCTTTGTCCTTTCGATGCAAATGAACTGCTGAGTCCTGTCCCGTGGAGGTGGCTCTTCTATGTTGTGCCATGCGCTTATGAAGTGGCTGTTTGGTTTCTCCAATGTAGAGGTCTGGGCATTCTTCGCTGCACTGTACAGCATACACCACATTGTTCAGTTTGTGTTTAGGAGTTTTGTCTTTCGGGTGAACTAGTTTCTGTCTGAGTGTGTTGCTGGGTCTGAAGTACACTGGTATGTTGTGTTTGGAGAAGACCCTCCTGAGTTTCTCTGATACACCGGCTACATAGGGGATTACAAGGTTGTGGCGTCTGTCTTTCTTATCCTCCCTCGCTGGTGTCTGGTCTTCTTTTCTGTGCATTTTTGCTGACTTTATAAACGCCCAATTAGGATAGCCACATGTTTTAAGTGATTCCTTTATATGTGTGTGTTCCTTCTTTTTCCCTTCCGGCTTAGAGGGAACATGTTCTGCCCGGTGGTGTAGGGTCTTGATTACTCAAAGTTTGTGTTTCAGAGGGTGATGTGAGTCGAAGAGGAGGTACTGGTCCGTGTGTGTGGGCTTCTGGTACACTTCAATGGTGAGGTTGCCATTCTCTTCAAAGTGCACAGAGCAGTCCAGGAAAGGCAAGCAGTTGTCCTTTATGTTTTCCCTGGTGAACTTGATGTTTTTGTCCACGGCGTTGATGTACGTAGTGAAGGATTCCACTTCTTTTGTTTTGATTTTGACCCAGGTGTCATCCACATATCTGCACCAGTGGCTGGGTGCTCTCCCTTTAAAAGAGCCAAGAGCCTTTCTTTCCACTTCCTCCATGTAAAGGTTGGCTACAATAGGTGACACGGGGGAGCCCATGGCGCAGCCATGTTTTTGTCTGTAGAAACCTTCGTTGTATTTGAAATTTGTAGTGGTGAGGCAGAGGTCTAACAGTGTGCAAATCTGATCGGGTGTGAAGTTGGTCCTTGTCTCCAAGGTGCTGTCTTCTTGTAGTCGTTTTCTGACAGTCTCCACTGCCTCCGTAGTGGGTTTGCAAGTGAAGAGGGAGACTACGTCAAAGGACACCATGGTTTCATCTTGATCCACTTGGAGTAATCAAGACCCTACACCACCGGGCAGAACATGTTCCCTCTAAGCCTGAAGGGAAAAAGAAGGAACACACACATATAAAGAATCACTTAAAACATGTGGCTATCCTAATTGGGCGTTTATAAAGTCAGCAAAGATGCACAGAAAAGAAGACCAGACACCAGCGAGGGAGGATAAGAAAGACAGACGCAACAACCTTGTCATCCCCTATGTAGCCGGTGTATCAGAGAAACTCAGGAGGGTCTTCTCCAAACACAACATACCAGTGTACTTCAGACCCAGCAACACACTCAGACTGAAACTGGTTCACCCGAAAGACAAAACTCCTAAACACAAACTGAACAATGTGGTGTACGCTGTACAGTGCAGTGAGGAATGCCCAGACCTCTACATCGGAGAAACCAAACAGCCACTTCACAAGCGCATGGCACAACATAGAAGAGCCACCTCCACAGGACAGGACTCAGCAATTCATTTGCATCTAAAGGACAAAGTGTCCTTTAGTGTCCTCTTTCGAGGATGCCAATGTTCGCATTTTGGACAGAGAGGACAGATGGTTTGAAACAGGAGTAAAGGAAGCCATTTATGTCCACTGTGAGCAACATCTTTGAACAGAGGCGGTGGTTTACGACACCAACTGTCTGCCATCTATAATTCAGTTTTGAGATCCCTTCCCAGATGCCTCAACGCCCACGCATATCCTGGGCCATCTGACCTCAGGAATTCACATGATAGGGTGGGGCCAGGCTTCACAATGAGCTCACCCGAAACTCTGGCTGAATAGGACCCACACCCACCCTCACACCTTGGCTCAAGTGTTTATGTAGAAGATCATCAGGGGGCCTTTTGTTCCCTTTTCGGGGGGAAACTCCCACTGGGTTTGAATCTGGGACTCTCCACCATTTGACCTTAGAACTGAAGAATCCTCTTGGATGAGAGGTGAAACGTCTTCAAGCAACTCAAAGAAGTCCAGACGCTTTTCTTTCAAAGCTCCTTAGACTATTCTGGATGTTTTAATGTCAGAGTACACAGGATATCATCAATGTCTTCTATCTACATCTTTTCCTCTGTAATCTTTCCCCCTGCAGGAACGGTGTTGGGTAGCGCTGGTGCGGGTGGAGAAGACTGAGTTTTTGGTCCCCGTGTTCATCGGTGAGGTGGTCCACGTCTCAGCTGAGATCACCTTCACGTCCAAACACTCACTGGAGGTCCAGGTCAAAGTCATGGCCGAGAACATCCTCAAAGGTGTGACTGTCTGACATTGTACGCTGACACAAAGAACAGCCGAACTTGAGTGATGTTCAAGAATCCTCACAAATGATGTGAAAAAAGTACAAAAACATTTTAAATGAAGATGCGTGAGAATTCAAACACAGGAAGACAAAGATAGATTTAGACCTTGTAATAGATGCCCGCCGTGTGTAGAAAGCTCTACAGCAAACATGTACAAAGTGTGGCACAGGGGCCCTTTATGACCTTCTGAGTGATTTTATGTGGCCCCAAAAGCATTTCTATTTTTCCAGCAGACTGCTGCTGTAGATCCACTTTTAACGTGTTTATGTTCAGATTTTTTCTAATACAAGACTCATTTTAGAGTGGTACAAATAAAAAATAGCAAAGCAATTATTTAGTCATTTTTTCTAAAGGTATGAAACAATGAAAAACATTTTTTTTTATGATTCCTGATTATAATCAGTCACTCTGAGTTTTCTATGTCGGCTGAACGTGAAAATGGTCTACTACACCTATCTCAATTAGCTTCTGAGAGAAAATAGACGGTGAAATTCTAGGATTTGAGAGCCAGACAGATCTACGTCGAGCAGTCGCTTGGCCTCTCCCATCTTGGCTCGTGATGGGGAAAGCTGTTGTTTTAGTGTCCAGGAAACAGCAGTGAATGTCTCAGATAGCAGAAGCTAACCCGTAGCACCATTAGCAACTTCACCACATGGCAGAACTCCTCCAGGCTTGTGTTATTTGTGGAGATGAAACATCCATGTCGCATATGTTTAATTATTGATAAATTATCTAAATGAGCTCACACAGTTACCTAAAACCCTAAAAATGTGGTTTATTGTAGTATGAAACACACAGAATGATTAAATTAAAATACAGAAAAGGCTCTTTGATAAATCTCCACCTTAACATGCTCTAGATCTGCTTTACTGTTCAGAGGAAGTTTGATGCCATCTCTGTTGGGTTTGTGTCATTAGGTCGTTTGTTTTTTGCAGGACTGAAACACAAATGCATCAATGAAGTTCTATCTAAACCAGTCAAAATCAATCACCCAGTATAATTCAATCACACTGACATTGGTTCATTTGTCTTCTGATTGAAAAGGTTCAAGTCAATACGTTTTCATCTAAAAACTTTTTATTGACAAATTTTTAATTTTCCTGAATCACAATAAAATTTGACTTCATTCTGCAGCAAAAATGACGAACATGGTTCAATCATTCTATTCAATATGTGGGAAGTTTCCTGTTTGGTCACCAGGGGGCGCCATGCTATAACTCACGAGACTTTAATTTGCAGAAATCTGCTTTGAGTTGTTGAGTTGTATGCTTCAGATGGCTAAGTTTTGCATATTCATTATATGATGCACAAAATAAAGAAAACACACCTGTATGTAAGCAGGCTTACACACACATGATTGTAGTTCTGAGTCTGTTGAGTAAACCTGCAGGAATGAACCTTTTTCACTGACAGAGCATCATCTGCTAACCTTTAAATGTCAGATGCACAAACCAACAAAACATTCCTTTTCACTAACCTGACTGTATCAGCTAGAAGTCACATTAAAGGGGTGGTATGTCTACTTTTACACAAGCATAAGCATATTTATCATATAACTATCATATCCAATATATTGGATCTGAGTGAGTTTAGGAAGTGAGAAGTTTGATCTAAAACTTGCAACTATTGTTGGTTTTTGAACTTATCTTCTAAAGAACTTAGTTCTCAGAGACAATCTTTTACTAACTTTACAAGATTAAGAAACAAAAAAACAGGTTGAGAGAGGCTCTGGATAGAAGAAGTGGAGCAGACAGACTTGTTAAAGGACAATAAGATATTAAAGGGGAGCAGGAGAAGAAAAGAGTCCATGTATAAATGGAATGATAAACGAGAAAAAAGAAGTTATGAAAAACAAAAGAAGTTTCCCTTAGATGGTTGTTGCCCCTAGCAACAGGCGTGTACTGGTTGGTTAGTTGGCTCGTTGCTACACTGAAAACAGGTTGATGGAGGTGGGAGGCAGCTATGAGGTGACAGGTGGAGGACATTCATACATGCAGGCATCTGTGAGGACAGCCCTCTGTGGCTTTTGTCAGGAAGGACCCCAGAAGAGGAGGAAAAAAGTTCATTCAAGAATTTGGTTGCACTCCAACACTTGTGCAACCTTCCTATAATGGATATAAAGAAGTACAGTAAAGTAACCTAGATGTTCTACTTTTTGTTGTATTTTGCAGGTAAAACCCCCAAATTACTTTCCCAGTCATTTTTACCCACAATCCTTTTCGCAGTGCAATATTTATCACATGCATCACAGTGTCTCGCACCGTTGCCAACAACCTTGAACTGCCAAGGAAGGCATGAGATTGGAATTTGGATAGTTTAGATAAAAGTGGAAATATTTTTTAATATTTTTTAATCCAATATTATTTTTGCAAAGAACTTTTAGATCTTTAACTTTTTTCTTCTCCAAACAAACAAACAAACAAACAAAAAAAATAAATATCAGGGTTTTTCCTGGCTCAAATTGAGGCAGAGGTGGTGCCATCCTGACCATGCGCCAGCACATGCATACTGTGCATTCAACTGCCTCACTTTTTAAAGGCAAAATATTATAAAAGGCTCAATAATATGCATTAGATTAGTCTTTAGTTCCCTTTTTCCCATCTGATATTTATAGTTAAAAATATTTTTAAATTTTTTACCTACATTTCAGTATCATTTTAGGTTTGTATTAATAACACTCATCTTAGTCAAAATAACGCGTAAATATATTCAGTAAAAAATTGGCAATAATCCAGGTCAAATTATGTTCAAAGATAGAAGCGTTTTTGAATTATATACTACAATGGCTTGCCGTACATCCTGCGCCAGCAGTAATGTGACTCATATCTGCAGCGGTTCTGATCCGTAGTGCTGCAGGATGCAGAATAAACAGGATGGTGGGGACTTTTTATCTGCTTGTAGAAATTAGTCTTTCTTAGTTTTACTATCATCATATTTTTTTTTGTGTGCGCCACTTGATCGTGAGACTGCTACCCGTTAGCTTTAGCATTAGCCAGTCTGCGTGTAGCTGCACTTTTGATCCCAAACTTTGGACCGGTTCTACCTTTGTGCCTTTGCTGGTTCCTTTATTTTCCTCCACTTCATCCAGATGACCACACTCTGCGCCAATAAAAAGCATTTTTCTTACATGTAACTTACTTTTGTTCAATAAAGTTCTGGGGAAAATAGTACTTCAAAGTTGTTGCACCAGTGCTACGTTTAAAAATGGACAGAAACGCACAGACAGTTTTTTTCGTCGCACTGTATCGCCCTGCTCTGAATATGAAAGAGCCTGGGGGAAAATCAAGAAGTCAATAGCACCAACCATAGATATGTAACTAGCGAGAAAAGCAATTTTTGATCTTTGTCTGCAGCAGTTTTAGTGCTTTTCGGTGCACCGCTGCTGATACAGCGCCCGTGTAGTGGCGCAACGCTGCAACTGCAGTTAAAATTAAAGCTGCAAGCAGCGTCGTTTGGCCCTCGCAGCGAAGCTGCTCGCCCTCCGTCCGTACACCCTCCACTCCATCCCAACACTCTCCCAACCCGTCGCCCTGCAACTGGTGGCACATGAGCGCCAATGCGCGCCAGACACCCCAGCGTGCATTTAACTGCGATCACTGTCAGCTGTCACCTCAATCTGACTCAACCTTTCCTCCTAGCCTGCCAACAGTCCCCACTAAAAGTGTTTTACATTAGCAAAATATTCCAGCTTCGAAAGAAACTTTGTAATGTAATTGGAACAAAATGGCCAACTTCCTGTGGGATATGGAGCATGGCTCTATGAGACTTCTTTGTAGGCCCAGGCACACTACATAAGTGTGCAAAATTTCACAATCCTCAGTCAAAGCATGACTTGGGGCTGAGAGTTTTAATGGCCGTAGGGGCGCTATTTCGGAAAAAGGCCACGCCCACCAGCTTATGACATCTATTTATATTGGGGGTCAGACTAGGATCACTCACCAGAAATCTTTTGGTGATATCATGAGAACTGAGGCAATGAGAAGCAAACGTATTTCCATGGCGTGATCACGAATTTCGCCATGCTTCCAGGGCCCTGCCCTTTTTTGAAACCTGCCAGTACTAGAAACCAAGTGACCCTAACTTTTGTATTGCTATTTGGCAGAGATTGCTGTTGAATAGATGAAAGGAGTCCAATAGGGAGCTCTGAAAGTATAAGCATGGTGTGGTGACAGGCCAATGTTTGAGGCTCAGCCACGCCCACACCGCTAGACTTTTGGAAAATCCATAGGTTCAGTTTTTCCTGCTTGGTCATAAGAGTTTTAAGCAGAAGTATGAAGGTGATGGGAGCAAAGGGCGCTTGGGGATTGGCGTACCTTTTGAAGTGTGCCAAAAACACAAAAATGGCGTACTTGGACCAAAATGGTCGACTTCCTGTGGGATAAGGAGCATGGCTCCAAGAGAGTTTTTTGTAGGTCCTAAGACATTAAATATGTTTTCCAAAGTTTCACAATCCTCAGTAAAAGCTTGACCTGGGGCTGACATTTTTATTGGACCTAGGGGGCGCTAGTGAAGAAGCTAAGCCACGCCTACCAGATTTTCAGGGTAATATTTATTGAGGTTTGGATTTGTATCAATCACCTGAATTGTTGGACCGATGGCATCAGAATTGAGGAAATGAGAGGCAAACGTATGTCAAAATTCGCCATGCCCCCAAAGCCTTGCCCTTTTTTGAAACCTGCCAGTACTGGACACCATGTGAGCCCAACATGTCTACTGCTATTTGCCAGAGATTCATGCTGATTAGGTTAAAAGAGTCAATTTGGGAGCATTGACAGTAAAGCATGGTGTGGTGACAGGTCAAAGTTTGAGGCCTAGCCACACCCACACGTTAAACTTTTGGGAAATCCGTAAGTTCAGTTTTTCCCGCTTGGTCTTAAGAGTTTTCAGCAGAAGTATGAAGGTGATGGGGGCAAAGGGCACTTGGGGATTGATGTACCTTTGAAGTGTACAAA